ATGTTACTTCCTCATCAGTGTCAAGAATTTAAGATTTATTGAAAACTTTGCTAGACAAAATTGAGTACTCGTGAAATTTTAATTAGATCTAAAGCATATGAAATATCGTTTGAAAGTAAAAATTTAGTCAGAATCAAAATGTTGATTAGAATTGGGGCGAAATATTTTTAAAAACTTTAGTAAAAAATAAACGAGCGAAACAAATTACAGCATTTATTTAATACGAGAATCTCAGTTTGATTTAAAATAAAATGAGTTATCAAAAATTTATCAAGTATTCATTACAAAGTTTATATCTTCTCAATTATTGTATATCATATCCAGTACTGTAGTCTTTTTTGTACATGTATCATAATTAAAAATTGTCATTTTTTCACCCTATTTAAATTCTACTTTTCAGTATCTGACTTGTACATTTGAACCCATTTAAGTATTCCTTCATTATTTTCTCTTCATTTGTTGTTTTTCTGAAAAGCTAATTGCAATGAAATGTTAGTTTAAAAAAAGTTTTATTTCAACGACATAATCTTAACGTTAAGCGAATTGAAATAAAAAACAACCAAACACTGGCAAAGGAAGAATTAAAAATTTATTTTTTCCGGAAATTTGGTTTGAAAAAGTATTAGAACAGAAAAAAGTTTCAGTTAAACTGCAAAAAAACCCGTCAATAGTAGCACAAAGTAAATTCCATCATGACCCTTACTTTTATCAATGATAAAAATGATTAACCTATCGTATTCAAATTTTTTCTCAGTTTGTTATTAAATTTCTGACAAGCAAATGATATTATAGTTTATTACAGTAGTTTTTGTCATATGTAAAAGGCAAACTGTTACACTTCATAATAAATGTATGTAAAGACGTGAAAGTTTTTTCTGTTCATTTTGGAAGACAAAAATTACGATTTAAAGGGTAAGTTAATGAACAAAAAAAATTTAAACACAGAGGAAGAAATGAGAAGCAGAAACAAATTGTGTGGCCAATATGGAAGATGCGGTAGTTGGAAAACAAATAAATAATCAAAATGTCAATAATTAACACCAAATCTTTGATGCATTACACTGTTTTATAAGGCAACAACGCTCTGACTACTGTATTGCGCGGTAAAAGGTAATTACTATAATATAAATAGTGGCCTACCAAATGGTAGCAAACTTAAAAAAGCTACATGCAAATATGCGAAACTCTACCTGAACAAAAATTTTATTAAAAGGAATCTATTACTGCTTTGGAGGAAAAATTGAAGTTGTAAAAAAAAACACGTTTAAAATGATGCATTTAGGCATTTGAGTGAAGGTTTGACTTAATTAAATTTATTTTCTGATAATATATTACTTGAAGTGAAGGGTGAAGGTAAGCCACTAATATCATTTAATACTTGTAATAACACTTCAAGTTTTTGCTATTACCATGAAAAAAGCAAGAAGAGAATAAGCCAAGACTTCTTAGTTTATTCAGTGAAACTATGAACCTTTCTTATTTTTTGCTAATATTAATAGAATACTCATTAATAGAAATTTTTGTTATTAAAGAATTATTTTTAAATTCAATCTGTAAGTAAGTTTCAAAGAATAGACTAGATGGACGAGCATTATGCAGAAACAAAATTAAATGAATTAAATTCCACCAAGTATGAAAGGAGAGAAATCACCGAATAAAGCATGAATAAATTTTAGCAAAAACCAATCACGGGATGAGTATACTAAGTAAAGTAAAGTAGATAATGATAACAAAGACAAAGATGATAGAATATTCGAGATCTAAATCACAGAATAGCGATTACTTTGGAAACTCCATATATTAAAGTTAATTTACAACTGGAAATTTCCTAACAACAATTTAAAGGAATACAAAAAATGAACTTTGGGAGACAGTAATGAATTAATTGCTGACACTGTAAGCATAAACCAAACTAAAGCTCACAAAAAGTTGATAAATTAAATCTAACAATCAATCCACAGTATCAAATTCAATCATACAATTTTACATACATTATAGAAAAATCTTTTCATTATTTTGCAATGCTTGTTTAATTCTATAAATAATTGATTTATCAAAAATCAATAAAAGTTTTAAAAGTTAGACTTTCTTATGTGAAAAATTGTTCATATAATTTCAGATGTCAGAAACAGAGGAGGCTAAAGCATATTCAATCTAGTAATTCCTTTTCATTGTAAAATAGTAAATGAAAATTATTGAGCTTTTAATTAAAAATTTTTGAGTTTAATTTCAGTGCCATTTTTTTTCCAGTAATATATTTTTGAGAACAAATTCAACCATCACCAAACCGACTGCATATATATTTATACATATATGCATATAAAATCATTCTGGTAAGAAAAATTAAAACATACTGTACAAGGAGCGAAAATTCAAACATAAAAGTAAAAAGTCAAGTCAGTGGTTGAGTAATATTAATAAGAAGCTTATTGCTAATCATAGAAAGCTATCATTTTATGCTATAATCACAGAATAATAATAATATTAGTGCTAATAACAATAATAATAATAATATGTAGTTGCGATGAAATGCTAAGCTATTCAAGTTACTGGTGAAACAGATAGAAGATAAAGTACTCCGGTTGTACATGATAAGCACAAATAAAAATTTGTTATTTTTTCAAAGAACAAATTAAAGTTACATAAAACTACAAGTAAAAAATAAATGTGAAACCGTAGTTTGGAATGAAAGCTTTTCATCTGAGAATAATTTTGGACTTCAAAAATGGAACATAAGCATGAATAAATAATCGAAGATTGGCCGATTTGTCCAGGTTTTAAAACTAACATTCATAGTTGATAAATACAACAGCGATTCCTGCTAAGCAGCTCTACCGAGAAATATTTCACGTGCTGTTTGATGCTCTAATGACTCGCAATGAACTCGAAATTCAGTCTGTAAATGCTCCAAGTTTTGATTAAAAAATCATAGAAAACAGGCTAATTAATATTAATAATCTTGTATTTGTGCATTTCAGTTACAGAAAGTTTTAATGACTATAATTTTTTCGCTGTTTTCTAACTTTTGTTTTTGCTCTTTTGACTCCATTCTCGCATTAAAAAAAAGTATTTTGTTTATAATATAATTTCTTTATTTTGTTGTTATTTTATCAGTAAAGAAAAGTAAGAATGCAAAATCTTACTTGCGCACCGAATTTCGCATTACAAGCACGACACTGATAATGTGTTTGTATTAATTTGAACACTGAATCACATCCTTGACATATTAATCGCTGATGATTTTTCAATAATTGTTCCTGTTGAAATACATTAGTACACTGTGGACATGCCCAGCCTACCTGCAAGTAACTCATAGATATAAGTATCGAAATTACATTTTTTACTTGAACAGTTATAAAAAATTCAAAATTTGCACAAATAGAACAAGTAAAAGTTGTTATAAAAAGTAGTTGTGACTAAAATTTGTGATTAAAAATTAATCCACCTCACTATCTGTACTTGCTGCACATTGAAAATCTCGCAATGGTATTACTGCAACTAGTTGCTGAAATGTCTTGCCATCTTGCGTAAATTTTGATGATCCACGTCCAGAACTCATATCAGCCGTAATTTGAGCCATAACACTTTCAGGAATTTGCAACATTGGAATTGGTGTACCCATCAAATTTGGATCATACATTAATGGTGCCAAACCTTCAAAATAATACCATATTCTATAATAATCCATTTACAAAATAATGCACTGATGCAGTGATTTCATCAAAATTTTTTATAAATATTGTAATTACTATCACAGAATTTTCTATATTTCTACAAAATAAAATCATTAAAGATTTATTATAAAACATTTTAATAAAAATAGATCAAAAAAGGTAAATTAAATCTATATTATAATTAACCTGGTTGCATGCCATATAAAAAATTATATGGAAAATGTGGTATTGTATTTGTTCCAGGGCTGGAAGATGATGTGGTAGGTAATTTCAAAGTTCGTCGATCTCGAACTGCTTTCATTCTAAAAAATAATTATGATTTAATTTCAATAATAACAAGCTAATTACCCAATTTTAAAATGAATTATTTGTTGTAGATTGTTAAACGTATTATTAATATCAATAATTACATTAGTAATCATAATAATTATTATTACTATTATTATTAACAGTAAAATACCTTGTCCGGTGAGTTTCTTCCTTATCATTCATTTCTCGTGAAGCTGTCAAGTCTCTTGAATTTTCTGACTGACTTTTTTCTACTTGAAGAAGTTTCTTGACTTGATTAATATGACTAGTTGTAAATATATGATCATGCATAGTGATATGATGATCATAGTTAATACCACATATTGCACAACGGGTTGATGTACAGCGAAAAAATTCCTCATCCCCTATAAATATTTTTTAGAAGACTTATCAGTTTTAATTTTTTTCCAGGTGACACAATACAAAAAATATTTATATTTTTCGTAATTACTACCATTTTTTGAATTAAAAATCCAATATCAGAAACATCCACAGACAACACTGTTTTCAAGATAAATATGATGCAATCAGATTTGGAATAGAACTGTACCTTCACGTTCAAAATGATTGAGTTCACATACTTGTAATACGTCGCAGCAGTGTTTTTCAAATTTAAGAGTAAATTAATTATTTCACTTATTAATTACTCATAGAATTAAAGTAATAAGAAATTACTGCTTGTAAATTTTCTACGCAAAATAAATAAGTCAATGTAAAATTACAAACCACTCTGTGAGCGAGATTTTCTCTCCTTTGCTCGAGCATTCTGAAACCATACTTGAACTACTCGTTTGTGAAGACCAATTTCTGCTCCTAACAAATCACATTCATTCATCGATGGAGTTTTATAATTTAGGAAGATGCTTTTCATCACCTGTAATTTTCATTTATAAATAAAATCATTAAAGATTTATTATAAAACATTTTATTAAAAATAGATCAAAAAAGGTAAATTAAATCTATATTATAATTAAATCTGCATGCTATTTTGCAAAAGTGACAGATTAACATTGTCGAACATACATGAACTTGTAGTGGTGTCAAATGAGTACGATATCGTTTTGAACTAGTTGGACTTCTCTGAGAACTCAAAGATCCAGCACCAGTAGCACCAGGAGACACGCTATTGTAACGTTCACTAGTATCAACGTTATCACTATTGTTATCATCGTTATCAGAATGTGCATATGATGGCGATATTGATAAAGAATCTTCCCGCCTTAAAGAATCTTTTTGCACTAAGACAAGACTTCATTCTTTGAATTTTGAATTATAAATTCAAGGAATTAATAATCACAAAACTCATTAAGTTTTTTAATACTTATGCGCATTATTAATTCATAAAATGTGCAGTATTATTTGAGCTAAAAGTTTGCTAAATAAACCACTATAAGTACTAAAACAAATTCTAGAACAAAGCGCTTATAAAAAACAAAAATAAATACCCTTCGCCATTAGTAGTACAGCTGAGATCAAGTGGTGAAAGTTCTGATTTTTTAGAAAAACCATTTGTTTTGGATCCATCTCCAGGTGAATTCTCTTCTGCCAAAGATGTAATTGTTGGTACCTAAATTATGAATTATTAATTATAAACTTCACTGCCAATTTAAGTTCTCACTTGATTACTTCTCTCAAGTTTTACTTTAATGCATATTATTTCACTGCAAGTATATTCTACCTATTTATATTTCAGAATTTTTTAGAATAGCAAAAAATGGCAAAAACAATAATTTAAAAAGTAATGTAGAGAAAATAAAAACATCAATAGTAGTTTCAAGTTTAATTTTAGGAAGAAAAACTAAATTATCCTTACGTCTTCGGCGTCTGGTAGTAAGTCGACATTGATTGAGGTGTTGTTTACTTGATCCGGATGGCGATTTGGAATGTGTGCAATTAGTGATTCTCGAGAATGAAATAATAAACAGCAAAATGGACAACGTTTATAGAATATCGCTTTTTTCTTATCTCTTATCTTCTGAATAATTAATAAATGAATTTATTTCTGTACTGATTGCATAATTTAGAAAAATAGTATCATCGTTTTGATTTAGAATAAAAATTTTTTGCTGTTAATCTAATTTTCACAAATTTCTTTTATAAAACTGAAAGTATTTTTATGATTTACTTTTTTATTTTTCCAAAATATTCCAGTAAGTACCGTATGCCTTCTTATGACAAAGTGTATAAACATCGAGTATTTCAGTTTTGATCACTTTAAGAAAAGCTACTTTACAACTATCGATAAAATTGATTTAAATCATGTATTAAATAATTAAGAAGCATGTGACTAGATCAATTATGAAAAACTCCGAAACAAATTGGATGAAAAAAGATTATACCAATTTCAGTGATGGGTCTTGTGGTTTAGTTGATGAGATAAGTTTTAAGAAATCTGTTTGATTAATATCACTACCAGTTCCACAGGATGCTGCACCAATAAGTTGAGCTAATGCTCCACCTAATGTATTTGTTTGACTTGTAGATGCAATTGGCACAGAGGTCATGCACGAGGTGTCACGTAAATCTAATTCTAAATTGCTCTTTTCATCTTCACTCAAATTTTCTTCTACGGCCTGAAAATGAAACATTCATAAATTTATTTTGTACAAGAAAATAAAATACTAAAATAATGTAGCAATTTGTTTAATAATTTAAAGATAAATCTTGTATTATTTTGATAAATTAATTTTATACTTTATTATCTTTTTGTTGAGCTAAGCAATCATCTTTGTAGCATAATTTTTGTTGATGCTGTATTAATTCATAATAACGTTGGAATACTAATTGACATCTTTTGCACTGGAAGTTACTCCCAGGAGTTTTCATAAACCGATCATCATTACTTGAAGTAGGCTGATTTTCATAAATTTTTCGAGCCTGAAGTGAAAATAAATAAAAATTATTGAACTTGTTTTCAGTAGTGTTTTTGATCAAAGCTAAATTATATCAGTGATGGGTAAAAAAGTTAAATAGTAAATATTATAAAGTATTTTTACAGTATTATTTGCTATTTTTGTACAGATTATTTTTTTTAATTTTAAAATTATTAAACTTTTATGTGTGAAATAATATTTGCTACAAATTAATTAGACAATTTAAATAAATGTGAATACTTTTTGTCTTGCATTCTGAAACCAAACAACGATAACTCGTGGACTAAGTTGGAGTTTCTTCGATAAAAGTTCTAAATCATCATCTTTAGGATAAGCCTGTTTGTCAAAAAATTGTTGCAAAGTACGAAGTTGATAATCTGTGAAACGAGTACGATTAGCACGACGACCGGTTACTGAATTCGAAGATGATAGATCTAAAAAATTTACTTCTTTAGAGCTCTGATATTTTGAATATAATTTTGTCTAAACAAGCCTCAAATTAATAGCCTCTTTCGATTTAAAATTTCTGTACATTATAAAAATGTAAAAGATCTACATAAAAGTAACAATTTTTTGATAGTATTTTTCAGCATAAAAAAACTTAATAGAATTACAATTATACTTTATTTTATGCATATTTTTAAGATATACTTGATAGTATAGATGAAAGATTTTTGTCGTCGTGTAAGAAAGAAGCAAAGGGATTATTGCACGTAGATGGCGCTGAATGCATTTGGGGAATTTGAATATTTGTAGAAGAGATTTGATTAGAAATACAACTCATATTAACCGGATTTTCAGATACTTGCATCAGTTGTGTTTTAGGTTTTTCTTCTGCCTAAAATGTAAAAAATTAAAAAATTTATGAAATTATGTTTTATAAACATATTTTGATTTCAATAATTATTTGATTGATTCTTTGATAATATTTAAACTTTTATAAGATAATATATAATTTTAAAATTTGGTTGCATGCTATATTATTGTCAGCATAGGAAATTTGATTAAACCTACTTCTACTTTAAGGGTAGTTATTTTTGTTTCGCCTGTTTTTTCATAAGTATCCAAATCAATGGTCATTTGGGGTGGAATGTTGAAATTGTAGGGGGAATCTTTATCACGCTGCCGTTCCTGTAAATTTCAACCCAAAATACTTCCTTTTGAGCATTTTTAATTCATTATTATAAAAATTCACTCATATATTGTAACTGCTGTCAATAATAAAGTTTAAAAAAGTAAAACAAAGAATATTAAATAATTTATTTTAAATTATTCATTCAATATAACTTTATGAAAAAGATTTAGATCTTGAGAAAACTTTTTAAATACTAAATTGAATCTTTAATAAGTTGATTTTAATCACTAGCTAAAACAAATTCTTCTTTCAAGACAACAATTATTATTATCAACCTTGAAAAGAGTATTCCGAAACCAGTGTTTGATAACTTTTTCTGGAAGTTGAGCTTTTACAGACATTTCTTTAATCTGCTGTTCACTTGGAGAATTATTGATATCAAAGTACTGTCGCAAGATTTTCAATTGGTCATCAGTAATGCGTGTTCGAGCTCGTTTAGCCGGTGATGGACTTGGAATTGCTTAATATTTAAACATAATTAATTATCATGAAGAAAAAATTTTAAAAAATAAAAACAAAACTGGAAAAAACTAAGAAATATATTCATATAACATGTAGCTACTATCATATTTTAGTATATTAATATATGATATTTTTTCATTTCTATCTTTAGGACATAAAATTTTTTTGCATATATGCTTTATCAATGCTATTATTTTCAATAAGATATTGTTATTTAAGCACTTGTTATAATTTAGATTGTAATTTTCTTCATATTTTAACTATTTATTATCAAACATACCTTGTGATAAAGCAGTTGTAGCATTTTGCTGCGCAGCAAAGAGAGGATTTGCAAAGAAGTCACGTGGTATTAAAGGCATGAAAGGATTTGGCATAAATGGAAATCCAAGCATACTCATCATAGCAAGTTGATTATTCAAATCAGGTGAATCTTTTGATGTTGATGGTAGAGGTGTAGTACCTGCTGAACTTGAACGCCTATCTTCCCTCACTTTCTTTGCCTAATTTATATTAATTTAGCTACGATTTATTTATGTATTTATTTTTAATAAATGCGATGAGAAATTTTGACATAAATACTTCAATGCTTAAATCATAATTATGTTAATCAATTATTACAAATTTTCACATTTTCTGCCAAGAATTGAAATCACAAATGTTTATGAAAATTGCAATCGGTTATCAAAAATTTGTACTTCAGTTAGTAAAAAGCTTATTAGGTTATTAAAAAATTAATCTATTTTTTGATCAAAGAATTATAATTTTTTAACATTTAATTAGTTAGAAACTTATTGACTTCGTCAAGTTTTCAGAATAAAAAAGTAAACGATATTTTCATTGTAAACCTATAAAAATAAGAGTACAGTATGGATATAAAACGAAAGTTACCTCAGGTGTATATTTATCGTCTTCATTTGTAACTGAGGTAGTTGATGACTGATTCAGTGAGAATGCACATTCGCTGTTTAATTCAGCTCCATGACTACTACTCAAAGGTAGTTCATCTCTTGACAAAGTTCGTTTCTTAGCACTGCAACTCGAGACTGGTGTTAATGGTTGTTCTGCTGTGCTTGCTTGTTCAGCACTCAAATCACTTTCATCGTTTTCTTTTTCTTCGTTATCATCCAATACTTCGTGCAATCGCTTTGCGAAATTTTCAATTTCTTCCTCTGGTACAGTACTTTCATGCGCCTAAAAAAATTGTTACCAACGATGAATAATTATATTAAAAATTATTTCACAATACAGTACCCTTATATACCTGAGCATTATCATTAACAATGAATTATTGTATTAAAATGATGCAATAAAAATTTATTTTCTTTTTTTTTTAAAAAAAAAGATATATTAACATTATTTTGTCAAAACAAAATGTAGTCGTTTTTTTATTAAAATACTGTAATAATGAAACAAAACTAATAGTAAATACATGAATTATGAAAGCAAAATTTTATATCAAAAATATAAATATAATAGAAAACCTCTTCGTAATGAGCTTTGAGCACCCATATACTGCTAAATGTTTTATTGCATTTTGTACATTCTGCGCGACTCAGAGCTGGAATTGCCTCATCTGGTAGCATGTCTAATTTACGCTTCTGTTGCTCCAAATCTTCATTATACTGCATTACCACATCAAAACCTGGAAAGTCTGTGCTTGAAGTCAGTAGTGCTCCTCAAATTTGGCCAATTAAAATTTATTTAATTCAGTTAAGAAGCAAAAAAATGTGTAATTTAAGAACATTATTTTGATAGAATTAGAATAAAACAAGCAAACAAAGAACCCAAATTTAAAAGCAGCAACTCAGCCTACCATAAGTTTCAAGCATTTTACGGAATGCTACACCAGTGCGTGGAGTGCGTTCATCATCCACAGTTGTACTAGACTGCTCACTTGTAGCAGCTGACGTAGTTCCTGTAGATTCGCTTGAAACCGGCAACTGTCCTATATTTAAAATATCTCAACTTCAAACTTTTATCATAAATCCATAATTCATTTAAAAATTACAAATTACAATTCTCAATCATGTAGTGAGATTAATTTCATGAAGTAATTTCATAGTATACATAATTTATGGTAAAAGATTGCATTTTTAGAATTATGCTCATAATTACAATTTAAAAATTTAGACAATGAATTAATCAAGAAAGAATTAAAATATGAAAATGCAAGTATTTTGACTTTGTTATTTATTACTCAAAAGTTATGCAAGAATTTGACGTACGTGAAATTGTTTTGATCAAAAATATTAACCTAAAGTGCCAAAAGGTGAAATCAGAGGAGGAAATCCGGCAGCTAAATTTGCCAGTGCTGCTTGAGCTTGTGGACCAGCTGCAACATCACTCGATAGAGCGGTTTGTCCAGCTGATGCGAACGATAATAACTGCGCCATATTCAGCATGTTAATCATCGCTAACGCTGACTGCTGTTGTTGTTCTAAGCCATTCTATAATTTGCATGTTTTCGTTACATTTTCAATTACACAATTATTATTATTATTATTATTATTATTATTATTATTATTATTATTAATACTAATATTAACATAATAACATTACTAAGAATTTTATCACTATATAAATTATTGTTATCACTATTGTTGCAGTATGTAATGTCCCAAAATAGTTAGTCCCTTAATCAAAATGTGAAATTTCTGTAGTATACAAAAATAATCGTCTGCATGAGTGGAAACAAGAAAAGTGCTAATCATAAAATACTATCATTAAAGTTTCCAGCACAAAAGTGAAAGTACACTTTATAATTTATAAATATTCAGCTTATTAATAATTGAGACGAAAATTATTATGCAAATTATTGCCAATAACACACAAAATGTTATTCTCAGAGCGAAGTAAAACAACAAGTGCATTCTATTCATAATAATTTTCCGTCCCATTCTTAGTAATTTTTGTAGTATACAAAAATGGTCTACATGAGTGAAAGTAATTACTTTTAGCATTTTTAAAAAGTGGAATAATTGGTACTTCGTATAATTTAGAGCCAAATGTTTTAATTATTTCATAAAACAACATGAA